TCTGCTTTGATCAACATTATTCCTAGGTTTTCTGACTGGAGTTGAATTTTTAACTTATTTAATTTGGCAAGACTTTATCGTTATAAGTATAAATACCTGATCATTCTTACTGATTATTTACAAGTGTTTTGAAATTGCTGGCCTACCAGTGTACTATCTTATCAATCATGCAATGTAACATTAATGGTTTGCTAATGGAAGTCAATAAAAGATTAAATTCCTATACATCCTGATCTCGAGAGAGATCAAACACTTCCCAAGCAATAAAAATATTATTACTACTAAACAAATCATTTTTGTCGATCTGCGGTTATATTGCAAGTAATGTTCTAAGAATAAAATTACCAAGGAACACTGAGGGTTCCCGTTCCACCGGTACACCACCTCTCAACGCAAAACAAGCTTTATATTTGCAAGAATATGGCCAGTTACATGTACAATTAAATAATAAATAAATAATAACATTTTCCCAGCTAATAGTTATAACGATAATTAATCATTTTTTTGCACCAACACTGTTTGGGGTATAAGTAAGATGTTTCTGTTTCCACCTCACAGTTCATCAGGTACCTGGAAAAAAGAAAAGGTGTATCTTTTAGTATCAAACGTTACTGCATTTGCTATTACAGCTCTTTCAAGGGTCACTAAGACCATCAAAACAACAATAGTTGACAATTATATAGTCAATAATTGTGCAATCACAACTTTGTCTAATATTTGTGTTACTTTATCTCCTTCTAAGTTTTACCTCTGGCTATAAAATCATGGCATCTAATTTTCTCCAAGTCACTTAATTAAATCTAATTTAAATAATATAAAACGCATTGCTAATATTGTTAAATCAAAAAATATTAAAACGTTTAGGTAAGCAAGTTGTCACTTTCTAAGACATTCTTCTCTCGAGGCTGCGATTTCAATGAAACTGCTTGGTGTTTAAACACTCAAACATTTTGACTCGCCAACGGGCTCGTCAAAATATGGCACAACTTGTAAAAATGTACAGCGATACGAAACACCAAAACATCTAACAAGATATATGTTTTGGAGTAGAACGTCGTTTAACGAGCTGTTATGATACACTGAGGCCCTGTCCACATTATTTCTACGTCCACATCTATCCGTCACGAAACCGGAGGAACTTGAAAGCCCCGGCTGTGCGTTTTAGTGTGGACCAAACAAAAAACATTTTGAAAACGGTGCTTTTCGAAACCGATGACGTCGCGGCGATAAGCATGTGATTTCCCTGACCGAGCTTTCCTCAAACAAATCCAAAATGGCCGGTGATTGAATGGAATGCCAGTGAAATATTGACATGCATGTTACTATATTCCTCGCGTTTTATTGTATTTATCGGTATTTTTCGTCAAAAATGAAAAGCACAGCGTAACGCCGGTTAAACCTCAATTCTTTTGTACTTAAGCTAATAGTACAGTCTTGTAAAACTGGAATAAGGCGTCCGTTTCGGTAGAGGGTTATTATCGGTTATATTTGAAAGAATAGAAATATTATTTATAAATTATTTTGTTCCTTCAATGCGGCGTATTTAGAATAGTAGGGAACAGGTTTTGTCTTTGATTTTTGCGACGTGTAACGCATAATGCCTACAAATAATTTCCCTTTGCATGAAATATTATAATCCATTACTATATATAAAGGTAGTTCTGAGGTAAATTCCGAGCGTTCTGATTGGTTCTTTCTTGGTCGGGATTGTGCCATACGGACCATTTCCATTGAAACGGTCATACGCCGTGGATTTTTTTGCTTTCGAAAGCCGCCAAATTCAAGTCCCGAGTGCCACATAATAAACTACTCACTGACCTGGCTTGCTCGAGCCGTACTGGGGAAAATTGGCCCTCGGTCGTTTTTGCACGGACCTCGCTGCACTCGGTCCGTACTTCCACGAACTCGGGCCAATATTCCACAGTGCGGCCCTCGCGCTCGGTTATTAAGAGATAATACTACATGTAGATTCTATCAGAATGAAAGATGTCGGTAATATGAAGCGCCGTGTGACGTCCGAAAACATTAATTACATGCGAGAATGAACTTTCCCATAAAAAACTCAAGTAATAATAATAATAAATAATAAATAAATATTTATATAGCGCCTATCCATGCCTGCTCTAGGCGCTGTACAATTCGCCAAAATGAGCTGTACCAATCTTAATTCATTATCTTGACGTCCTTTAATTATCAACACACGCGCGTTAACTCATTGCTGTTGACTCGTCATTGCAACTTACTTCCCTGTTAAAACTTATATCTAACACTGATCTGATCCCGTAATAACTGGATCACGGTTCGATATCGTTCTCATCTTCATTGCGGTTAACTAATTTAACCAATCGCAAGTGATCTCGGGACTTATACTGCGAGCGCGAGCGAGGGTGCGCCACTGCGTTCAAATATTTGGGGAGCGGGGATAGCGCGGCGGTGAGAACGCTCGTCTCCCACCAATAAGACCCGCTTGCTCCGAGGGTTCTTCTCCTGCCGGGTTCTCTGGTTTTCCTTTCTCCGCAAAACCAACATCTCCAAATTCCAATTCGACCAGGATAAAAAGATCCGCATGAAAACCAGCTAAGGCTGATATGGCTTCCTCTCTAAATGTTGTAATTTATTTATTGATTTTACTTCACTGGATTGCAATGTGCCGGTTGAATGGCGAACTCAAATTGGTTGTTGCACATAAAAAATGGCTAGGAACTAAATCGGCTATCGCCTCGTGTGCCACTTTTTTGTTCTTACGAGGTTTTGGATGACGTCTTCTGTGATCGATTTCTGAGAAGCTGTGGAACATTGTTAACGACGTCATATATGCGTCCACTTTTCAATTGATCATAAGTTAGAACCAATCAAAATGAGCGAAAAATTCGATATATTATAAAACATAAGCTATAACAGTTCTCAGCGCAACGCAATCAAATTCACCACATGTAAACGTGTACCATATTTGAATAAAGCACGCTGATAGCGCATACAAATCGCTTCGCCGGAAATTTATTTCTCGCATGAGAGGGTTGGAGTAGAGCGCCAATCTTAGAATACATTGGTTCATGCTTTTAGCTTTATATTATCGAGTTATGATGCACTTGGGAGAGGTGCTCTTGAAAGCTTTTAAACCTCTCTTTAGAATTGCATGCGAGCAAACTGAAGGCCATTTCAAAAAAGAAAGAAAACAAGTCCATCACCGGTGTCTAGTCTGTTTCTTTTATTTAATGACCTTTTCACTAATTTGGACAGGAGACGTGGCAACACGCTAAACTGTTAGCCGTGATAGGCTCAAATCAAGAATGCACCGAAGTAATCGTGGTAGCCATTGAACCAAAATTCGACGCCATTCTGCGGCGCTCCCCACGAATTGATCTTCAGCGAGATGGTGTCACCAGCTTTAAGGTCAAATACACCGAAAGCGTTCCTTGGGCCTTCCGCTCGCCCAGTTTCCGATCGCTGAAGCAAGGTAACGGCGTTATCGTCATTCACAACAAAAAACACTCTCCCGAGGCTCCTGAAGTAGAGCTGTGCATAGATGTAGTACTTTGCAGCCCTGGGCACTGTCAACTTTCCGTCACGGTACGTCATGCCACCTGCAAGATGACTACGACTGTCACTGGTTGACCAGTCGGTGATCACTGAAAGGTAAATTAAATTTGTGTGGAACAATGTTATGTTGCTCTTTTTTGTTGTTGTTTTTGCCCCCCACTTAGTTTTGGCATTTGCCAGGTGTCTGTATTGATGTCCACGGAACTGTCCACACTACGCCGGGGGAATTTGAAGACGAAGGTATCATTTTTCCTATATCATTGTAAACCATCTTACGTTAAGTTGTTTTTCTGTAAATAGTGTGCAATAATAAAAACTGAAAACTGAAACATTCTGAAAACGCATCAGATGTTTTCTGTCCACACTACTCTCGAAGAATTTGAAAAAGCAACAATCACCGGTCATTTTGGATTTGTGTAAGAAGAAACTCGGGGAGGGAAATCACATAATTATCGTGACTACATTCTTTTCAAAAGGCCCCGTTTTTAAAATGTTTTATTTTTCCTCGAGTTTGAAGAGCGTTTTCGTGACGGATTAGTGTTCACGGTTAGCCTTTTCAAATTCCTCCGGACTCGAGTGGACGGGCCTAAGCCAGTTACAGGTATGCCGGATGATATTTTGATGGGAACTCTGCAATGTTCAACAGCTGCTGGACACAATTTACAATACTCGCTTGAGCATAACGGGTTCCGATTTTCCTTTTCTCGTACGTATTAAATGAAACCACACTAACTATATGTTTCAAAGAAGGAGAAGCAAAACTCAAAGCATACCTGTGTTAACTGGATAGTGGACTACTTCTAAATGAGCTCCCACAATGTGAGCGGACGGTTTTGGGGCCTGCAGTGAATTACAAAGAACGAGGAATACTGTTATCTCATTGATTTTACCTTTCAAGCTTCTCAAACTCATTACTGACTATTTATCAACTTTAAACAAAGGAAATCATGACCGTGACAGTGTTTGGATGACTGATCGTAATTAGTACAGATTTTCTTCGTTTTCTCGTTAGTTTTAGTTTCGATTGAGAAGATCTATCAAATATTGAAGTCAGTGTTTGACCACATTTCTAAACAATTCGGAGTTCGCAAAAATACCCCGCTTCGCGTCGTATTTTCCACTCTCTTCTCGGTGTTTGGGAACGTGGTCAAACACATTCTATAGAGTTTGATATATTACATAACTAAATGTAATCGTAAAGTTAAGTTAATTTGGGAATAACAATTGTAACAACATCTTGGCTATTTTTACGAACAATTTTTGCAATAAATTTTCTCCAATACTTAACGTTTCCTTTCGGTAATTTTGCTTCGACGTTGTTTCGGGCTTAGTGCATGTCTTCGGGGAATCATATTAAATCCATGAAACAAAACAGAAAAAAAGGGGGCCAATAATCTGACTTTAAATTCCCAGGATCGACCCTCTCGTGTTGTAACGACTATTGTTTGCCGTCTTTCAAAGAACAGCTGAGGGAACAACGTTTGATTTGCTGTAGCAAAACACACCAAAAAAAATTGTTTGACTATATAATTCTGAAGGACGCAGTAATTGTGTTTGTGTTTTACCTTAGAAATCACCTTTAATATACAAAAGTCATTTTCAAAATTACTTACATCCCGAGTCCTTTCCATGAAAGCAGTGAAGCCAATCAGGGTACGTTTCACTAAGCTGAATTGTATATAGTGCTGGTCTAAATATTAAACAACTCAGTTCTCGGCAGATTGTGAGATTGTAAGATGAGTGTACCTTTGGTCCATTTCATTTTCACGAAAAGCAAAAATTAAACAATCAAAAACAGAAAGCATAATTTTCAGTTATTACTGGTTTTCAATATCATGCCATCGATCGAAATTAAAAATCGTAACAATTCAACAAATAAGTCAAAGCCAAAAAGTCAAAAGTCTGGGATATGATAAATTATAGCTATACAAGCGACCTCGCCTAAACTGAACTGGTGTTCAACCACACAGCCACTTTGTTGTTGTTGCTTTGTTTGTTTTGATTTGCATTTTACTTCTTTTTGTTTTGCTTTATTTGTTATGTTTTGTTTTGTTTTGCTTGTTTTTCTTTGATTGTCATGTTTCCCGAGTGACTAATTGATTGCCCGATATAGATACCTGATCTCCAAAACCGACCACTCGATCGTGAAGGAGTCATTTGCCGCATGATAAATTTGTAGCTCTCAAATTTGGCGCACGAGCGAACCGTAACATATTCGAGACAAATCGATCCCGAGAACGAAAGGTAGCGAAACAGAGGTTAAAGCTGACGAAACCTAGCCAAAAGAATTAAGAAGCCAAAAGTTAAAAAGGTGTGTAGCGTAAATGTCCAAGAAACAACTTCAAGAGCTAGATGTACTTAAATACCTCCTAAATCACGCGAGAAAATGAAGAGTTTAATAAGGGAGACCTCTCGAGACCACCGCCACTTCAACAGCACATGGTTTAAATGCATCTGAACAAAGTACGCGCGTGAAATCTTTCTAAACAAAACAGCACCTTCGTAGTTATATCTTCTCAGAGGTTTTAGTGACAATCATGCTTGAAATAACTTCCAATTGTTGCGTTCTAATTAAGACGGATTCCGCTCAAAGTTCGAGCAATAAGTGCAAAAATTATTTACTAAAAATCTACCGATAGCATGGTAACTTTTTGAATACTATTTACAACATCTCACTGTAATTTATTTCTCTAGGTGACCCCGCGATTAAATCCCCAAGCATTCTCGAGAAATTTAATATCAAACCTCGTAAGAATGCTTAAAGCGTGCGTTATTGTGTTTTCAACTAACGCGAAACGTCCGTTTTAATAGAAATATTGATAACTTCAAGTTCAATTGTCTCTCGCGGGGTCAGCTTGAGAGCTAAGGTCTCGATAAGATCTTCCTACCTTTATTCAAAATATTATCATGCCATGAGGTTTTTTTGGTAACTT